AAAATCTTTGTAACTGCAAGGTGCAAGGTACTCCTGCATGTGAGGCTGATGATTACAGGTGGCATTATTGCACCGTCTGCCAGACTCACCCCCACCCACCCCCCACCCCACCACCTCGCCGCCCATGCTGCTGCTTCATCACATATCAACATGGCAACGGAGATAGGCCGTACCAGCCGGCTTCATAGTACGGTGAGGTGAGGGGAGGGGAGGAAGCTTATATATGGTAACGCGTGGCTGCAAACAAAGGCTGGTGTAGCGTGGCGTAATATAGCTAGTCGACATAAAACATTCATGTGCGTGTGTGCGGCGCCTGTACGCATGCACCGTCATCGTTGCCTGCCGCCGAGCGCCGTAAGGGGGCATCTGTCGCCGCGAAACGTGCTTCGTTGCTCACCTGTCGTTCGTTTGTTCTAACGCTTCGATAAGGTTTTTTTGGATTGCTTTGTTTTTGGATTGGCACGCAATCCCCTTACTGCGAATTCGCGCACTTCTAACTATGACGCGTCAAACTGTCGTTACGAACGCGTCGCTGGAATCGACCGGCGCCGACAGCCCCACTAAACCCCCTCCACTTGAACGCGACCGTAGCGCCAGCGCCCTGGTAGCGGGAAGCTGCAGCGGCAGACCCGTGCGATAGCGCGCTTTACCCGGGGAACGTCATTGCGCTATTGTCTAGGAGCATGACGAGCGTGAATTATGCAATCATCCGCCTATCCGTGAGCCAGAATTCTCCATGAGCGCCGCATGTCTTCTCTGCGGTGATTGTCACACAGGGCCGGTGTAGCGGAAGACGTGGCTAGGTGGGCGGACGTGAGAGACGAGAGACGGCAGCAGCAGCATCAGCAGCAGCAGCAGCGGCGGGTATCGTGTGACGTGTGTGTATATCGGAGTTAGCTATCGACACGGGAGGACGCGGCGGAGGAGAAACAGTGATGCCCAACACCGGTTAGTATGCCAGCGTCCGTGCCTCCTTTTCCTTCTCTCTCTCCTCCTCCCCCTCCTCCTTTTCCTCCTCCTCTTCCTCCTCATCCTCCTCATCCTCTCTCTTGTTCTCTCTAATTCTGTAAGCAAATGATGTGTATGTGTGTGTGTGTGTGTGTGTGTGTGTGTGTGTGTGTGTGTGTGTGTGTGTGTGTGTGT